AAACGATAAATGGCGGGGGCACCTAGACTTTTATAAAAATAGGCGATTATGAAGCGTGAGAATCTTACACTTTCTTATCTTAAAGTAGAATATTAAAGTGCAAAATTTTAACATCCCTCGTATGTGTAAAATAATAAGCTTCAGTGATACTTTGGCATCTGTAGTTCATATCCTTCGTACATTCTTCCTACGGAAAATATATGAAGATGCAAAATGTCGAGAAGATTTTCCAAGAGATTCCAAGATTTTCGACTGAAGGATTAAAAAAAGGATAAAAGACGGGTAAAAGGACGAAGAGGACACGGTGAATCTCGCGTGTTCGCCAATGCGGCGACCTGTCTGGTTCGCTTCGTTCGCGGAGAAGCAAGCTGAGTTTCGAGAGATCGATATAACCAGCAACCGCTCGACCACTCCCTCCGTTCGCAGGCTGACCAATCGAGGATGACTGGCCATCCCCGGCTGGCCCGAGTCTCTCTTTCCCTTCTTCTCGTGCAACGGTGAATTACATGACGTCATTGTACGACGCCATTTTCGAGGCGCGTGCCAGAAAGCGTTCAGGAGTACCGATGGATTAAGCCGCGCTAGAACATTCTATGAAGAATGTCCTGAACACGAAAGAAATTTATTTATTTTTATACGTATATGAATAGAATTTTGTATCCCAAGTTCAACTTTACGAGTTTCCTGGACTCTAACTTGATTGAAGTCTGGACTTTTCATAATGGTTTCTTAGTGTTCCCGCGATTCTTCCTTTAAATCCGACGTTAATTGGCACACTGAGAAAAATGTCCAATTAAATATAATCGCATAACCCAATTACATAATAACAAATGGAACACCCGATTAAATTGTATGTCCGATGAAAAATATGATCGGGTTTTGCAATCCACTTTCGCCGGATAAGTTTCATCGGATATATCCATAATTTAATCGGAAAACGTAATCGGAAAGATTAACCATCGGAAACGCTATTTAATTGGTGTTATCTAACTCATATTTACGTTGCATATCGATGGACTAGGGACAACATACATATCTGCTCGTATTTGAGTTAGAGATACTCAGATATGATTAGATATATACATTTGTTCCTGGGTATTTGTTTATTTTAAATTCTATGCCAAGTTTCGACAGATGATACAACTCACGTAATTTTCCTGACTCATAAAAATCACTTTAAACTGCCTGAATGAGATCATACAATCCCTGGTCTCCTTTGGTAAATATATGATATCTTTTAAACTTGTATACCTTACAATAGCTGTTATCTTAGTTGCTATTGTAAATGATTGAAACGATAGTGTCTTTAGATCCTGCCTTGGGTTCGCTGCATTCCAAACGTAGTTAATTTATCAGAACGATAAGAACGTTGAGTCTGTTTGTCTAAAACCAGACCACAAATTAAAACCGTACGCGTGTCTGTATCAAGAATAAATAATTCATTTCTTTATCGCATGTTCTGAAACTAATCAGTACCAACACATGTTCAACGCCATTCTTATCCGAAGGGCGATTTATCTTTTGGAGAAATTGAGCTAATTTATTTAAAATAAACCTTCAAAGATCGCAGATTTGCGCGTGTAGAAGAATAAATAATTGTCCGCGGCATAATTTGCCATTTATTTTCTGAAAGTAAATTAATTCCTTTCTAAAAGTCTCACAATTTATTATTTTACACGCCGCAAATGTGTTCTAAATTCTGTAAATACAGTATGTAGCTTTCCCTTAAATTTTCTAGGCGTGGATTTTTCTTCATATGTATTTAGATTTCATGTAATAAATAAACGGTATTCTTTATCAACGTAAATTTTCAATCAACGCTGAAACTACAAATTAATGTAAAAAAACAATGCAAATAGTCTATTTTAGAAAGACTTTTTAAGACGTTTTCAACTGAAGTTGTTTTCGAGAACGATTCAAGTAACTCGTTTCGTGATATCGACAAAGTCGATCGTTCTCCAATGATGAAGCTAACGCGACAGCTTCCCACGGAAAGCAGCAAAATAAGAGCGGCACGATGCACGTGTGCGAAGGCATCGCCATGTTAAGACGCGGACGCGTCATCCGGTAATTGCGATTTATTTCTCTTAATCACTGCGTAAACAGCAGCCAATTTATGCGGTTCGAGTTAATTTCGCGCAATTATATAATTACCGAGCGCGGCGGCCATCGCGCAGACAGCGAACCTAATCGGTTTGCCGAGACGAGCGCCGTAATGGCGGCACTTAAATTTAAAGATACCTCCGAGACTTTGCGCACACCAATTCACCCCCTGCTGGATCAAGCCGGCGCGGCACTCGTTTCACCCTCTATTACTCTTTCGCGAGTCCCTTGATTAGAACGCGAGTTTCTGTCAAGTTCTTAACACTCGTGAGTTCGTTTTAGTAAATTAGTGACGATTACGGTTCACGCTTGTCAATAAAATTTCGTTAAAATTTCATTTCTTCGCAAGTTAGTTCTAAAAATCCAACAGCTGGAATTTAACTTGTAAATATCAATGCGCAAACGACAGAAAGAGAACTTGGTAAAAGGTGTTTATTCTCTTGACTTACAAAGTACAGTTCCTCTTCTAAATTTCCTTCTGACTCGCGTACGTAATTGTTTGCTTTTACAAACGAAAAATGTTAGATCCGCAGTACTTGCTTTTATTTCAGAGGTTCCGTTGGTCGAATGAAAGGGACCTGTAAGAGGGATGGCAGAGGGCTGGGATTCATTTTGCGGCACGATGCCTGGTCCCGGCGTATAGCAAAGTGAGGGTACAAAATCGATACTAAACCTCCTCTCCCCTCTTGGGATGGATGTCACTGCTTCCGCGCTTGGCAGCCATGCCTTTCGTCTAAGGGAAACGGAATTCAGGCAGCCTAGGATCTTAGCAGCCGTGGAAGTTAGATGGGATTCGGACGACCTAAGAATTTGCGCGAAAGTGCACAGATAGCGTGCACTTCCGGATTTCATTATAAGTTCGGGGAATGTAAAATTGAATCGGGAAGTTGAGAGGATGAAAATTCGAAGGGATCGCGAAATCCGAAAACGGTAGAGCGTAAAATCAATGGAATGGCGAATGGGTGGTATATTTAGACGCGATATGTATACGCGATTTAGATATAAATCTACATGCCGATTGGAGGCACGAGGCCCGACGAGAGAGGGCAGAGGTAGCAACAAAGTTATAAAAATAAAAGTAACGAGCATTCCGACACGTCATTCGCGGAATAGCGTATCTCAGAAAATTCCGAAGACCATATGCGAAATCGTGCGACTGCACGAGAGAGTGAGGGGAAGGCGTGTAAGCTGCATCAGGGTGCAGACAGATGGGAGTGGTCTCTGTAATCACGATGGGCGTGGTTTTTCACGGCTTACTGCAGCTGCATCACATGGGGTGCACAACTGCGCGCAGTCGGATTCTGTCGCTTTTACCGGCGAGTAAATTATTCGATTCGGCTCGGCAGAATAAGGAATCAAAACGGAAAAACTCCCGCCTCCCCATTTCGGATATGCAGAAAACGAAATTTCACGTTTGTGCGAATGGCCATGTTACACGTATGTTTCTTTTCATAGACACAGTAAATATAATAGACCGAGCGTCCCATTGAATAAGCTGAAGCTTGTGAAGATTTAAAAAGACTTTCTTTCTCTGTCTCGCCATCGTGACAAGGGAGAATCACGCCTGTGTAGCACTGCGCAGGCACGATTCTTTTCTTTTACGATGGTGTAAGACAAAGAAAGGAAGTCTTCTTAAATTTTTTCTCTCTCTCTCTCTCTCTCTCTCTCTCTCTCTCTTTTCACAATTAGCTTCAGCTTATTCAATGGGACGCTTAGTCTATATTTACTATGTCTACGGTTTTTCCAGACAAATCACCTGACCTTCAGTTGTTACCATCTCTCTAAAAGTCGATCAGTGGATTATCACTGAGAATAGTGAATAGTCACTGATTTACAGTTGTAAGTATACCACTGCGATTTTCAGTGGTACACTCATAACTGTGTGAGTCAGTGACTATTTGCTGTTTACGAGCGATAATCTACCGATTGATTTTTATGGAGATTGGAATTTGAACGATCCACGGTTGTAATTACCGATCCGTTTTCAGAGGATCAATACTTGCGACAGCGAATCACCTTAATGCCGCATTAAATCTGTATTCCGCATGCGAAGACCTGCAAATTCCTCGGCGGCTTTTCCTCGCAGACAAAACTAAAAAAAAAAAAACTAGATCGGAGATGGACCGAAATGCCATTTTTCTATGCCGCATAATTTAACGCTATTTTTCTGCCTCGCATAATTCACCGACAGGATAGCGGCGCGTTTAAGGAACGAGGACACGAGCGACGGGGGATCCTGGCGGCGGCGAGAGCGAGATGTTTTGCGGACGCGTCCGCGGCTTTTTGTCCTGCGGACGATTTTGGTGGGTAAACGCCGAACCGAAGGAGGACGCCGTATGGATCGCGGCTCCCATTAAGCCCTTATTAATTGCGAGCATCTGAAGGACCGACCGATCTTTCTTGCGCTACCTGCGCGCCATTCCGCTGAGCCGAGCGAAGCTGCATCCTGTTGTCGCTCGACACAGCCAGGACACGGCAGGATCTTTGATACACCGTCGATATGCCGACGATTCGTACGCGAGTATATCAGATGAAGCGACGGGGACCGCGCGGCGGCGTGATAAATCAGGAACAAATATCAGGCATCCGAGCGCAAGTACTCGATTCAAAAGTCTCTCCCTTAAATTGTATCAAAGACCCGAGGCTTCTCGCTCTTAAAAAAAGAAAAAACTAAAAGAGAAAGTACGATAATCTCGCGATAATCAGCTTCGCCAACGACGAACGCGACCGCAAATTTATTAAACGGGCAGCATCTTCTCCCCCGAGCGAGTCTCAAAGGGGTGAGTACATCGTGAGCGTCCCACAATTGGATGTTCTACGCGCGTTCTCCTGGACCAGGCTCTATCCACGATGCCCATTCGCCGTTGGTGAAACCAAACATGGAAAAGTCTACTTACTTACCGGAGAGGGGTGCGTAGTGGCCGTGAGGATAGGGCGGCGCCGAGGAGGCATCGACGAGGGATTGCGACGGCGTCGCCGACGTCCACTCCTTGTAGGACGCCGCGGCGTGCGCGTGATGCGCCGCGTGGTGAGACGTGTGGTGGCCGAGGCCGCGTGCACCACCCAGCAGAAGGCCACTGTAACTCGCCGCCGCTGCCATATTGTGGTGGTGGTACTCGTGCACGGCTCTGGAGAGAGAAAGCACGGGGGAAATTTACGACGTGAGGACTGCGAAGGAAATAGAAAAAAAAAGGGAACGGCTGCGAAATGCAGCATAATTTTCGGATCGGATATGAATAAGATTAATTACGGACACGCGGCTTTTTGGCAGAGACACGCCGAGATGCATCGCGCCAAATCAACACATGAAAATAGCATCGCGGTGCCTGGCGTGTGTCGACATAATCGCCTTGAGTGTGTCGCGATCAATGAGGCATAAAATAATACGTGTCATCAGTACCTGATGCCAATCTTAAGGGGAGAGACCAAAGAAAGGAGCGGAAGAGGAGCAGCGACGTGGTTTAAAATCGCCTTTAAAAGGCGAAAACGAAGAGCTGGGGCGTGTAAGAAACACTGAAAACTGTCGGGGGCAGGTAACGCCGAGATCTTTAACACTGATTCGGCCACTTCTATAAATTACAAATCTGTCACTGCGGTAGAGATACGATGCAAAGTATCGGAAAGTGCTTTTTTTCCCCCCTCTTTTGTTTTAATTCCCGGTCTTTCGCTCCGTTCCCATATGTAGCGCATATTTTTCCTCCTTTTTCACAGGTTGTTCGTACAATGTAGTCTATCCGAGTATTGAATTTCACTCCATATGGTGACCACCAAGGGAGTAACCGCTAGCTAAAATGTCCCACTGATTACACGATTTCGTTTGATTTCATACGATTTCATCTGATTACAAATAATTTTCTTATATGCACGTTTAAAAATATGTAACGTTGTTAAACCTCAAAAAGCTGTTAGATTTCCTCAAAATATATTTTTCTTCTTTTACTAAGAGGTATTTGCTTGTAGAGGTGATTTCAGTTAAGATTCCAGTATTCGGTCACGTGTTTCCTTGCTTCCCACTTTTCCCACTACTCTAACCGCGGTCTTAACGAAAAGTAATTTTGTATCTGTATTTACTGTTTATCGGTCCGAATTTGCGCGCAAAGGTGCATCAACGTTTCAACTCGCTGTTGTTCTAATAGCAACTACTTCAGCCTTATTTTGGAAAGAATACGCGCTTATAAGCGTCAACTATGATATATATTTTGGAAGAAACTTGAAAATCAAGACAAAACGATTACACGGAGATTTCATAAGGATTTCATAATGATTTCGGAGACACTGTCCCACGATTACACCAAGTGGTTATCCCCTTGGTGACCACACTGACCTTAGCGACGTTGTCGCGCAACTTTGTGAGAATGTAGAACGGAATACGAATCAGTATGCAATTATGAGAGAGCGAGAGAGAGAGAGAGAGCAAAAATTAACGATGAAAGTTATTGAATAGGTAATTCAGCGGGCTAAAGATCGCGTTTAGAAAATTCTCGTCTCACTAATTAACAAGCTATGTAGCATTTAATGGCGCGCTCGCCGCAAAAATTCCCAGCACGTGGTCCCGGTTTTACGTCTCCGCGGTGTGACGAGATGCTGGAGTTACACGCAATTACTCGATACGCGCGATCAAGAATCAATGGGACGTGGACACGGCGCCGATATTCCGTCGCGCAACATTGTAGAGAATGTCTATTAAGGAACGGGGGAAAGAAGGAAGCTATGCCATTTATGTAAAACGGAGAAGAGATAGATAGACAGAGCGAGAGAGAGAGAGAGAGAGGGGAGAGATAGAAAAAATAGATAGAGAACAACAGCGATCGGTAGCACTGACCTGTGATGGTACTGCGGGTAATGCGGATGCCACGGATCCGTTGGGTACTCGTAGACATCACTGGGATGCTGACTATTCCAAAAGGAAGGGGGAAAGTTCCTCATGGACATGGGGGAGATATTTTCTGCAATAAAAAAGAAAAAAACAGTTTTACAGCGGCGGTGCTTTCAATGGCTCGCGCGAGAAAACGCGCATTTAGAAATTGTCAAGGAAATGAGAGACGAAGAGAAACGGGAGAGCGGGAGGTCGCCCTTTTTGATTTTCCGCTGAGATTCTTATCTCGACCCCCAGAAAATATCGGGGAGGACAGCGATCGGAGGGCCCTACCGGTTGTTTATGTAACCCTTCCCGAGCGCGTGCGTCTCTCGGCGCCTCCCCGTCGGAATCTGATCGGAGAACATTCTATTCTCTCCTGCTAAATATCGCGCCATTCTTATTTCTCCCGTTTAGAAGCGTGAGCCGTACATCGTTAAAAAGAAAAACAACGAGCTTTAAGCGAGACGGCGCCATAAATATAAATACTGGTACCGAGCCGATGATCCCTAAGTGATGAATACCACCGATAACTCGTTGTTTCTTTCTCCGCGGGGAGAAGACGTTCTCTCCCCCGGAAAACGAGTTCCAGGCGGCTTCCACCAGAAACCACTCCTAACTAGAGGGAAATAAATAACGTCGCTGGCCGGCTAAATCATCGTAGTTTGTAACGGCGGAGTAAATTAGCAGCCGGTATGCCTCTCCTAGCAGATAATCGAAGCGACTTAGCCGGAGATGAAATCGCGCGAGCGCGAGCGCGGGGAGGGAATTAGAGGGCATAAATCGTGGACCGGCGCGGTCGACCTCGCGTTGGTCCACAACCTTCGGACGCGCGTTCCGATTGGCCGAGGATGGATTAAGAAAAAAAAAAAAGAAGGCAAAAGAAGAGAGGAATCCAACGTGAGCGAGGACCGCGCGAGAGGATTGCGGGAGGATACACGACAAGCTTCTGGCTTCGAAGTGGCCGCTTGTAAAACAACCGAGCGGTACCCTTCTGCCTTCCGCCGATTTCATCCCGTGGGATTCTGCCTGCCCGTTTAGCGAAGCCCTCCGAAATCCGTGGGAACGACACCGAATATATTTTAATAAAGCTTCGTCAAAGGGAATCGGCCAAATCATTATTGTCATATATATATTCGCATTAATTAGTTGCACAAAGTGACAAGTAATTAATATGTCACGCAATCACATATGATAATGATGGTGAAAACAGTATCGTAATAATTTATAGATGTTACAATATGGAAAACTGTATTATTAACTTAGTGTGCAATAACGATTTATCCTTACATTACCGTTAAAAGAGACTAATTGTATATTCGTAGTAATTTTTTATTAGAGAAATTCCCCGACCCGCTGTCGCGATACCTCGCATTTTTATGGATTGTCGCAGACAAATGGACGAGCAGGCGTTCTTTTATTATATAGATTTTGACACGAGAACGACGTTTTACGACGACGGTGGCCTAACCGGTAAATCAACGTCGAAATACCGGGTCTTACATAAATGGGCGAGTCATAACGCGTTGAGTTACGACTCCCGATAGTGTGGCAATAACACCGTGCGATTAATTAATAGCGCGAGTTGGAAGCATCTACAAATGAGCTATAAATTAAAATTGATTCCTACTTGTTGGCCGATGAATTTCCGTTAAGTATGTACGAGTAGCGGCAATCGGGATACTCTGTATCTCAACCAACAGGTACATCTTTTCTCCTCGATATTACGATATTCGCTCGAAACAAATGTGAAAGTAGACGAGAAATGCCGTACATTAAAAATTCTATCGAGCTTCTTTTAAAATTAACAAACAAAATTTTATTGCAACATCGAGGAACATTATTTTTTTTTGTTTTAGTTTGGAATCACAGAAACGCCTTGTTCAAATTGAATGTAGAATCTTTAAGAAATTTCGCCTTGATATTACGTTAGTTGCTTAAAACAAATACGAAAGTAGACGAGAAATGCCGTGCGTTAAAAATTCTATCGAGCTTCTCTTAAAATTAACAAACAAAATTTTATTGCAACATCGAGGAACATTTTTTAATGGTTTTGGTTTGGAATCACAGAGACGCCTTGTCCAAATTGAGTGTAGAATCTTTAAGAATTACTCGCCGTTAGTTTAACAGATACGCGAAATGTCACGCGCGTGCATTGTCGAAAAGTATAATTGAGAAGCTAATTGAAAAGTACTGTTTGTCGTCTATTGCCATCACAAGTATGATCCTTTAATCTTCGAGATAGACAAGGATACGGCTGAGGACCTCGTGGGACCGTTTGCGGCCCCTCTCTCCTTTCCCGTCTAGTATCTGCCTCGGTCTCGGTTCGCCGAGACTGTCCTTTATTTATTAACGCAATTAAAGAAACAGAGTGTCGACCGTCTGCAGCCGGCTTTATTCTTTGCCGATGCCGCGACCGAAGAGAGAAAGGGTATCGTTCTATGTGGAGGGGAACAGGGAGGGGGGGGGGGGAGAGGAACGAGTAGAAAGGGTTGTCGAAGCCTGGTTCGCCAATAAGTACCCGTGTGTTCCTCAGAACTTCAGAAAACGCCGACGTTTTAATCGACGACTTGCGAATCTCGATACCGCTTTCGCAATCGCCCTCACCCTTAGTCTTTAAATAGCGAAATGGACAGCGAAATATTTTCAAGATAGCGTACGATCAAGATATTATTGATTTTTCATGATCAACCTGCTAATTATCAATGCAATTAATTGCACTTATTTAATTGAATTTCACCCTCTTTCTAATAAAGAGATTAGCAGAACTTTACAGCCAAAAACGATTCTGCGCCAGACAAGATGTTCTTTTTTTTACATTTTTAGATGGTGAAAACGATGCTGTAAGCTAAGTTTCATCGGCATGTCAGATTCTCGAGATAATTGAGGTTTAACAGTCGCTTTCTCGTCGATATTTGAAGATTTTTCCTAGGTAAGATTAACGCATTCTTAAAATTTTTAATCAGAAGTCACGAATGCATTGCGTACGTCCCTTGTAAAAGGCGCTGTTTATTTTCCTATCTTGTCTACCATTTGTATACGTCGAATGAATTTCACTACGAGATAAGTTTATCTCTCAGATTTCGTACGCAATTCCAAAAATAACTCTATCCTTCAAGAAAACAATTTCTGTTTGTCTCAAACCGGAACCCGCCGTATTTTTCCACGCCAATTACTCGAATTCCTTTTTAGTCCCGAGAGCAACCCTTTCCTCTTGCCATCTCTCCCCATTGAGCCACCCCTTTCTCCTCTTTCCCTCTTTGTTTTCGCAGCGTGCGCGTTTAGGCTCAAAGTCGTTCGGTCCTTGTACGTACGTTACCCGGCATTCCGCGGCTAAAACTGTCTCCCGCGATGTCGCCTCCCCACGCTCCACTCCCCGCCTTCCTTTCCCTCACAATGTCTTTCCTCGGCCCTCCTCCACCGTCCCTCTTTTCCCGGAGCAGAAGCTCTTAATTTACCATTCGTACGAGCACGGTCGCGGGAAGTTAGCGCGCAAGCAGAAGAGGAGGAGGAGGAGGAGGAGGAGGAGGAGACGAGAGTGAGGAAAGAGGGCGGGAGGGAAGTGGTGAGGCGTAACAATTAGGTCGTGTTGTCTTGAATTCTAAGCAGGCTACTGAACTGATCCTCGGCGTACTGTAGTCGGGATAAATGCGGCTTTAAACGACACCGATATAGACGAGCTTGCCGATCGCTTGCCAAACCCGCTCGCGTGCTGACAATCTTCCCCCCTTCCCTCCCGGGTTCTCTCTTGCGGCCGGGATGTTCCCTCTGCTCTTTTCTCCCCACTGGCCTGCCCTGCCCTGCCCTGCCCTGCCCTGCCCGCGTTTTAAGCCCGAGTGCGAGTACGAGCGAGCTACAATTGTCACGAGGCTTGTTAGCCTTGTCGCCGTCTAATGGCGTACTTTATTACCCGCCTCGGGAACGAATTCGACGTCGAAACGTTTCGACTTCATTCAGTTCAAAAAGAGGACGGACCGTAAAATTCGAGCGTTCACGATCGATACGATAAAACAAAGCGAATTTCAATCCATTTAGCAGTTCACGGGACAAACAATTCATACTATTTAGGCGATCACGGGTATCCGTTAAATAAGTTTATCCTAAATATGATAGAGGGGTGATTTTATTCAGCCAGTCTCACCTTTTAATTTGTCGTGCGCGAGGGCCCTTTGAAAGTGTTCCTCCACTTCCGACGCCGCGTCGCCCCGATAATGCGTGAACACGACGCAATTCGCGTTAACGTACTGCGCCCTGCTCTCACCATCGTCGGAGTCCTCAGTTGTACCGGCGCCCACGCCTGCGAGCCGGTGTATTAATACGCAGGTGTTCACGTGACGAGACACACGTTGCTGTAAACCGAGACAATTAATCATCTCACCGTCTGTCGATCTGTCGTCGTCTAACGTTCGCGAGGGTTGCGAGGTGGTGGTTGCGAGGGGCGGCCGCGGTTGCGGCGTTGGCCTTGGGGACGCAGGACTCGGCGCGGACCCTACGGAACCCGCACTGCTCGGCTGACCTTGAGGGACGCTTCCGCCGGCGCCGCAAAGCTCGATACCGGCCGCTTCCAGGGACCTTTGATGAACGTTCAGCTGCAATGGGAAGCAATTAGTGTCGCGCGTGCAAGATCGTCGGCTTTGAGGAATTTCAACTTTGCAAAGATTTCAAAAGCCATAATTTATACTGAAAAACAACTTTCGCTACCGTAGCAGCTAGTCACGGTTTGCTGAAAATATTTTGCCGCCGTAACTATAAATTTCTACACCAACGGTTTGCTGTTGCGTCTAACGCAAAAAGCGCAGTAGCAAAATATTTAGCTGTCACATTGAAATTTTAAATTTCCACTTTCTTATAAAATTCTATCTCTGTACGTCGATTATCTTGAGCTCGCATTATAAAGTAGACAGTGGCAGCTGTCTCTTTGTGTGAAATGCAACGACTGACGACAAGAGTGAAATAAAAGTGACCAGTCAAGGTGGATGAACCTCCGAGAGAGTTTTCGTCAGGAAGAATCGCAGTTGCTTTTATGCGAGCGTCACACGCGATCGCGCTGTTTATCGGTTAACAGGTTAACGATGCCGGTTAACCGGTTATTCGCTTAGCACTTGGCCAATCGTTAATGATTGCCGGTTAACCGGTTTAATTGGTCGGCTGATGTACAGTTTGCATGGAGCACGATCGGTATGCTGATCGTTATGACGAGTCAACCGATGCAAACGATAGTTGGGGAGCAAAAGCGGAGGAAAGCGCTGGGAAATCCCCACAAATTCCGCGAGGCTTGAATTCCAAGGAACTAAAGGCTGCAAATTTTTCAGCGCTTCTTCAGTCCAATTCTGACTTTCGATTTCTCTTATAAACATCTTGGATCTCGAATGTTCACGCCTAGGAAGATGTCGATCGAATTCCAGCGCGATATGATAAGTACGTAACGTTTACTCGTTGTTCTAGATTCTCTAGATCGTCCAAGGGGAATTTTTTTAAAAAATGGACCAAACTGGCAAAAATGATGTTAATTTTAGTCACGACGTTGCGACCCCTTTATCGGGGTCTTTTCAAGTACAATCTAAAGTTGCCTGAACATTTTAATTTGTGCCGAAACAGAATGGGTTCACGAGTCTGTGGTAGCAAATTCATAATATCATATATGTCTCGATAGTCAGTGGATTTATAATGGTGGTGTCAATTTCTAAGATTTCTATGTAACAACCGTACGTCCGCGCATCTCGAATAAAGCGCGAGCAAATCTTTAGATCGTATTTCTCGATCGTTATCTATCTTTCGACCGTCAATTGTCGCCGTACGACGAAATTCTCGGGCGGCAAATCGCGTGAGCCGAGGAGAAGCGTGGCCGACGAGCGCATCGCTCGCATGGCGCAGCGATCGTGATGATGGGCCGACAAGAGAAATACGAGCGCGTAAATACCGGCGCGTTTTAACGGCGATAGCCGGGATTTTCCGCGTGACATCGGGGCCATGCGTTTTCTCGCGCGCTATAAAGAGAATGTCGACGACGGGAACGGTGGCGAACGGCCCATTGATTTCCACGTTGTCCGCGCGCCAGAATTCGACACCGTAGTGGCCCATTAAATTCAACCCTCTCGGTCGGTCACGCGTTCTTCCGAAGCGGACGCCGTCCGCAGTAATTGTTAGATAATGGCATAGAAAAATTGTCCGGTTTCTCAACTTTCCTTAGCAAACGTTTGAAATTGCAGCCACGAATTTGTTAGAAGAGCGAGCTTAACAGGATCCTGAAGTCATCTTTTTTTATACAGTTTTTACGCCTGTGAAACACTCAGTTCAGAAGTTTAATAAAAGAGAAATTGGTATTAAAAATTTTCAATTTTTTATTCGTGAGCAATTTGAAATTGGCTTTTTATAAAATTGCAAAATTCTTCCACGCGATTCAAGTACGCATAAAATCAAAGCCGGGGGTTCACCGACTATACATATACAGGGTGTCTGATGCAAAAGTAGCCACTTTGCAAATAGCGGTAGATTGGGTTAAACTAAGGAGAAATATCATGTACCGAGGTACAAAGTAACAATAGTTATCAACAAAGAAATTTATACGTTTGAGCGAATGAGGATGCAGGAGACGGTAGGCCGGACTCGGGAGGCATTTAAGAAAATCGATCGATGAGCGGGAGGTGGAGT